AAGCGGTATGATGAAGCAACCATTTTCTCTAGTATCTTTAGCAAAAGATCATATAGACAAGTTTTATATGAGGTCTGGAGTGAGCTTACTTCCTGCTCAGAACAATGTCAACTTAAAGACATTTAAATGACAACATTTTCCCACAAGGAACTAAGTTTTCACCCTCCTGGGTGGTGTTTGAACATCCTAATATATATATATATATATATATATATATTAGGAGGCATGGTGGAGTAATGGTTAGTGGCATGGATTGTGGAATCGGAGAGGTGAATTCGAATTCCACTTGAATCCATTACATTCACTTACGTGCTAATACCCTTGGGAAAGGTGTGAATCCTCTTCTTCTCCCTCCAGCTATTTGTAAATAGCAGAACAGACTGGGTTCTATAGCCTTGGATGGCAACTGGTCTAGGAGAAAGACTGAATTAAAAACCTGTGGAGGGTCATTTGGGGACCTTGTAGCATGTAGTGCACCAGGTCTCTGTATTCGGCGTTTCAAAAAGTGTGGATGGTTCTGAACAAAACCTTCACCACTATAATCAAATCTCATGTGCTGGTGTCGGGCTGTCGGTTCCTAAGAACTGAGCTGCTTGACCTTCATATGTTGAATATGATGGGAGAGTTGAATATATATATATATATATATATATATATATATACACACACACACACACACACACACACACACACACACACACACACACACACACACACACACACACACACATACATATACATATACATGATATAGGAATGAATTTTTATGATTATATATGTGGATTGCTCCAAAAGTAATACCTCCTGTTTTATTATGCTGGTCCACAACATTAGAGGTGGTGTGAATGAACCTTTCCATTAATAGCATATAATTTGTTTTGCCTTGTTAAAGATAGTAATCTGGCAAAATAGTGTCTGACATGAAAGGATTTTGTGTGCGGTGAGGAGGGGGCATTGCACCCATCAACGTTTATGGTCAGGTTTGCTGGTTTCAATCCTTTTTGGGTTATTTAATGCTAAATTCTTGTACAAGGGTGTGCAGTGAGGATTGAACTCACTACTCAGTAGTAGTAATAGCCAATTAGACTAGCCTCGTTTGCCATTACCAGTCATAAAGATAGCTGGAAATGATTTTACTATGAAAATGCATTGCCAATGTGTTTGATTTTATGATATACCAACTTAGTGGGGTTATTTAATGCTGAATTTTTATATGGGACACCAAGTAAGGATCAAATTCACTACTCCATAGTAATGGTGAACCATACTAGTCCTGCTATTACCCCACATTGAGGAACTCTGAACACTTATGGAGACCAAACAGTGGATGTAAGCACAATCAACTGTGGGAACACTTATGTGTGACAGACCATATTCCAGGTGCCCCAGCACAGCTGCAAACTCTTGAAAAGGCATTGCCAATAGTAGTAATTACAGGGAAAATAGTATTTCCATGTCAGAGAAAAATTAAATAGGAGGCATTAGTTTTGGAGCATGTTTCATATATAGGAACCTTGGAGATGTGGTGGAGTGACATTTTTTATATTTCAAAACAAATCTCAGCCACAAATAGTTTAGTTGTACAAGAAGCTACTTAAGTTATCTGGTCTGCTCATAAAAAACAGAAGAATTTTTGAGAAATAATAGCTGTAACTTAGCATTAATTAGACCCTTCGTCTACCTCTGACATTTGTTTCAATTGAAGGATATTGATTTTTTTTTTTTTTTTATCATTTTAAAAGGCAGAGATCTTGTTCATAATGTTAATACAGTGTCAAATCATTTCCTGGCAGGATGTACTGAAAGCAAATTAAGGCAGTGGGCCACCTATCTGATGAGCTTGTCTTAACGGATGGTAGAACTGTGGTTAGTAGGTTTGACAAAGTGAAGAATGTCGATAAGTGCTACAACAGATAAGAGGATGTAGAGAGCCATAATCACAGATGTCCTGAAGAGGCACAGCCCATAGAAGAAATATTTAATGTGATAATATTTGTTAGCCCTTCACCATGTGTAATGGATGTTTTTGCCAAACGAAGTGCAAGATTTCAAGATTGAAAGATCATTACTCGTTAAAGTTTAAAGCCTTGTTTTATCTTTAACTAATAATCAAGGCAAATGACAAATGAGTAGTTGGATTTTTTGGCAATAAAACATTGAATGGAAGAAACAAAGAGAATGCTACCATTCTTCTTTTTTTTTTTTTTTAAAATCAAATTCACCCCATGCAAGGGATTAGAGCGATGAAGACACAATGGGTTACTGGTGTGAGGTGAAGGAATTAGAAAACAAACATTACTAAAGAGCAAAAACAATAGAAGAGTAATCAAGAAGATGGTAGATAATTAATGACAATATATTTAAATTGTTGTAGATTAAAGATGGCTGGAAAGCATGGAGCCAGAAGAGAGTTCTATAAATGACATGTGAAAGAAGAAACTGTCAGCATAGAACTTACTGCTACATCTCACCAATTCAACAATATACTGATGATACCTCATTGCTAGTCTAGTGCTGTGCTTAAATTCATAAAATCTAGGTACCATAGTAAAGAGCTTATCCAAACAATTATAGAAAAGGCACAGGGAGGCAACTTTACGGTGATGGGAAAGTGACTGATGTTGGGACACAAGATCAAGACCAATTCTGATTCTTCTTTGAATTTTATCAAAAATCTCTAAATATATAGCAAGAGCAATATTCCCAGCATGGACAAACGGTATGCTTATTTATAAACACCAAGTTTGAAACTGTGCATATGACACGATAACTGCATACGACTGAAGATGTCCTTTTTTTTTCATTTTGTAATCATGTGTAGTTATCAATGATGTAAGACATTTTTGCAAATAAAAACAAAGTACAGATAACCCTTTAAGAAGTTATGGATCAATATGACACTGTATTTATATTATGAAGAGAAACCACTTCTGAAAGGGTAAAAAAATATTTTTTCTATTCTAACAGATGGTAACCTAGAAAAAATGTCCCCAAGGATATATGGCTCAGTGGATAAAAGTGTTGGCTGAAGTAATTCAATGACTTGATCAAAGAGTTGTGAGTTCAATATCTGGCCATATAAACTTGGAGAGTTGAATTACTAAAGGGAATTAACTGAAATATCTAGAAAAGGCATGACACTGAAACAATCTATCCCCTGTGGACTAAATAAAGGGTTTGGTTTGAAGTTCCAACGTGTATCACCTGAAGAAGACTGGAGTGTACAATGGTTGAAACATTGTGAATATTACAATAAAGATGTGGACAACAGTCTAAAAATTGTCCCACTCCTCAATTGTTTTCCCTGTGTTTTTAAGAGCAGTCTAGTTAATTTAAGCATTACCATCATAAACAGTTAAATAAAGACTAACTTCAAGCTGAACAAATTAACTTTTTTTCCACAAAGATATTTATTCAAAAAAAAAAAAAAAAAAAAATATGTACCTCAATTCACCAAAAAATGCTTTCATACCTTATTTCAAAGGTTATCATTTAAAGCAACACAGATTGCTTTTCTTTCACCCTCTTTTTATCACACTCACTTGGTTTTTTTTTTTTTTACCCTTACTCACTATAACAGCCACTTGATAGTATAGGTAGGTAGTTTTGTCCATAAGGTAGCAACAGTGATATTGACAGATTCAATATGATGGTGAAAATTATGACAGTGATCAAATTTAAAAGCTGAAAAGGCAAACACAGCAATGATTCTTATGGTGATGGCAGCAAAAACAAAGACATTTTTTGCTGAGGAATGAAAGAAGACAAAGTTTAACAAACAAGCCTGAAAAAAAAAAAAAAAAAAAAAAAAAAGGTGTGTCAGTTTTTCTCTTGACACTGCAATGACCGCACGTTCCCATAGCAATTGTCATGGTCTTAAAAAGCTGTTTTTAGAAATCTAAAAAACCCAAACACATGAAACTGTATTTATGAATTATCTTTTTTTTTTTCTCTCAAGAATTTACAGCAAAAGAATTAAACACTATTTATTTTATTATATTGTTTATTTACAAGAATAATTTGATATTTACAAGGTTATAAAAATATGCAAAGCAACTACAATGTAATATTTACTATTTATCATATAAGGAAATAACTTTGAAAAATTTTTCATTCATAAAGTAGTCTGGACAAAAGCATAAGAAAACATAAATAATCACATGACTACGAGTATTTAATTATAAATTTAAAAAAAAAAAAAAAAAAAAAAATTTTTTTATTTCCAGGCATTTCTTTCTCATCTCAAATTCACTAAAATAATTTTTGAGTACTTGGATTTATCCTTTTTTTTCCTCGAGAAATGACAACAAAAATGTTAAACACTATTTGGTTATTAAACTATTATTTATTACACAAATAGCGTTTAATACTTCTGTTGTCAATTCTTGAAAAGAAAAGAAAAAAAAAGGAAATACAAAATTCCAGTTTCATATATTTGGGTGCATTGGTTGGTTTTGTTTAGCGGGAAAATTGGTTGGTTATTTAATGCTGTAATCTAAACATTTTGTACACAATAATAATGGGCTTAGTGATATTGTTAATTAACCCATAACTGAAGAGGTGGATTTATACCTTTTCCAAGGGCATTTGCATCTAAGTGAAGATAATGAACCCAACTGGAATTGGAACTTGATTCTCCAATTAACAATTCCGAGCCATTATCCATTACGCCACCCACTCATCCAACCTTACACCAATTGATATTTTCAAATGGTCACACATCTAGGTACAGACCAGGCTTGATGTTGCTTAACTTCAGTGATTGTATGAGAAGCAGAGTTTCAGTGTGATGTAGCTGTAAGCCCTTTATGTCACCCACGTATCCAAGCTTACATCACTTGGTATTTCCAAGTGGCCACCCATTTAGGTACGGATCAGACTTGACATTGCTTAACTTCAAGGATTGTACTGGAGCCAGCATTTCAACGTAATGTATCCATAACCACATCTCTGATTTCTCATGCCTAGTTGTTATTCATTACACCACCTGCACATACAAGCTTACAGTGCCTGGTATTCCCAAGTAGTAACCCATCTAGATACTGACCAGGCTCAAAATTGCTTAACTTCAGTGATTGTATGAGAACCAGTGTTTCAATGTGTTTCATATATTTGGGTTTTATTCAAATTCTAAAAATAGTTTTTAAAACCATAAAATTGCTGAATTGAAAATACACTAACAGTGGTGTGTAGAGGAAAAAAAAAAGTCCTTTTGTCTTTCTGTTTTTTGTGAGTACGTACGTTAAACTTTGTCGAAAAAAATATTAAGCATGATGGTTTGACAACAGGGATTGTCTAAATAGAGTTTGTTAGGCAGGAGAAGATTAAACTTATAAAAAGATTTGATTTGAAAATCTTTATTTTGTATGCATCACTCTTAAAAACATTTTTTTTTTAAAATTTATACCAGTGGTCCCTACACTCTTTCAAGGCTTGCACCCACTTCCAAAGATTTTCTGCACCTCAGATCCAAGAAAAAATAATGACATAATATTAGAAAGGAAGACCTCAATTTTGGAAAGAGCAATAACTTAGGAATGTTTCTTTATAACGAAACAGTTAATATTACCATTAGAGGTGACATGCACAAATATGACTTGTTACTTACTGCACCTCCAACCCACCCCCACAGGTGACAGGATATGGCACCAAGCCTATTTAAAGTGGGGAGTCCAAGCACACACACACATGGGCTAATATACCCAAATTACCAAGTTCCTGCAGCCAATATCACACTGGCATCAATATTCCACCAATCATCCCTTTTTGGTATAATGAGGGCAATGCTGTCAAACCAGGCATCCCACAAACATTTTTTTTGTGTGTTTTCTGTCTGAAGACAGAAAAACCATCAATTTACAAGTTTAGAAGAACTGAATTGATGGAGAATGTTACGCAAGGCATGCTACAGCATGTGTGGCAGGAGCTGGACTACCGACTTGACGTGTCTCGTATCAAAGGTGGTGCGCATATTGAACATTTGTGAAGCTTTGTGAAATCTACACCCCTTTGAAGAATTTGTTCAAATTTTGATAAATAAATCTTGTATTGTTCAACATGAAGCCTATTTAATTTTGTTTGTCTGAGACATTTAGTTACTATGATATCCACATTTTAAATGATGTCAATTTTGTGGGGACAGCCTGTATTTTCAGTCGGTGATGTCCTTGTGATTTTACTTTAAAATACCTTTTTTTGATCAATGGATTTTTTCTCCAAAGCAACAGGCACCTTCTTCTCATCTGCCATCATATTCTTTTGGCACTACTTTTGGGTGAGTCATACACTCCAGGTTAAAAACTGCTGACTTAGAGAGTTTAGTTGCCAAAAATTTTCACTTATACCAATTAAATAAAAAAAAAAAAAAAAAATGGAGGTGTTGTATTGTGTTGTTCTACAACACTCTTAGTAGTCAACTTCTTGGCCGTCTTAGTTTCCTATACACTTTATATCTCTTCCACTATACATATGCACATAAGTACAATCCTCTTTACCAATCCACTACAGGAGGCCTTCCTAGAAAGGAAGTATGAAAGTGTACCCAGATATATGTATATACAAAAATGTGGTAATAGAGGACTACTTTGTCTAGATGTACAGAGATAGAGAGAAGCCTTGCAGACAAGCAAAATCTGAGGGAAGTTTTTTTTTTTTTTTAGAAGTAAAAAGAATAGTAACTATTTATTAAGCTTAGCTTAGTCTGGCAAAAGGCCAAGGAGAGTGATTTTCTTTGAAAAATTTTGGACAGAGGTGCAATATTGACAAACAGTAATGTGCAATCCTACAATATGTAAAAATAAAAAACAAATAAATAAAGTGAAACAAGTAATGCCTGAATGGGAACAAAGAAAAAAAAAAACAAGGGTGGATCGATGCTGGTAAGAGTGGGTAAAATGAATAATTGAGAGAGAGGGTACACTTTTTTCTTTTTAACTATATACAAATTCCGTTTGGATTGCTGGTGGGAATTTTTCAACTTATAAAATAAGTGTGCCAGTTTAAATGAATAAACATTCCAGGCTGAATGTTTAAGTTTAATATACATGGGACAATTTTGCTGCAGAGAAAATTATTTTAAAAATAATAAGTATACCATACTAATAAATGCTGTTTTGTGGTGGGGGAAAAATTAAAAGAACTAACTTAATTGTGTCAGTACTTGTAGTATTTAGTACACAAGAGTTATAGCTAAGAAATAAATAAATAAAGTAAATAAAATAATAAATGCGAGTAAAAATATATAAATGACAAAAAAAAAAAAAAAAAAAAAAAAAAAAAAAAAAAATGAAGTAAAGATAGATCCCAGAACCTATTAGGCAGAGTCAGAAGTAATTTCCATCTTGGGGACCAATTATAATGACAAATATATAATCCTAATAAAATATATAATCCTAATAATACATAGTAGCTAAATGTTGTAACCTAGAAAGAATTTCTGAATGAGAAATAACCAAAATGGAGGTTGGAAATGAAATAGTAATCTTTATAACATCAACAAAATACAATACTTGCCAACGGTGTGAAGTAGGTAAACCACTGCTAGCAGTGGACTACTTAGACAGCATATTACGATATTTACCTTCCTCCCCACAAGGTAGGATGTGACACAAGGCTAAATTTAATGTGGAGAAATCTGAGCCTGTGGGCTTGGGCAAAAATTGCCTGCAGACCTTGCATATGCGGGATCAGGTATCTGTCTACTTCCCTGGACAAGACTGCCCTTCGGCATAGCCTTGTCCAGGTTCCTCTCTGCACGAAGGCAGAGAGTTCAACACGGCAAGAGCTTTCCATGCTGCCAGCATATTACCCCCACTTACAATAGTGTCCAACGTATTTATGAGGATTGGGACATACCCATTAGTGTTCATAGGTATGGTATATAACAATAACGCAAGGTGTTACTGATAGTGGAAGAGAATGAAAAGACTTTAGTGAGGAAAAAGGACAATAAAAGAACAAGAAAATGGTGATTGATGCTGCACTTAATTTTATTTAAGAATGTAAGTGGCAAGAAACCAGAAGAGAGAAGTGTGAGGAAAGAAACTATTGAAATAGAACTTACGGTTGCATCTAGTTATTTCAACAGTAAAACAATGAGACCTAGCTGCCAATCCAGTACTGTGCTTAAATTCACATGGTTGAGGTACCAAGGAAGAGAGCTCATTAGAACAATTGCCATGAAAATAGTTATAGAAAAGATAGATGGGAAAATGACTGAAGTCGAGATGACATGAAGATCCATTACATTGCAGACCCTTCTTTGGATTTTGTTGAGAATCGTGAGATATATAGCCAGAGCACCAGACCAAATATGGCAGCAATATTCAATGCACAGACAAATGGTAGATTTATAACTGTACAAGATGGATTCTGAGAAGAAAATTTATCTGACATGACACAATGAAGCAACCTTCTTAGTAGCAGACCTAGCAAGTGATACAAGATAATCATACTAGTTCATGTCAGTAGAAAATGTGAGACCAAGAAGGTGCAATGAGTTGCTCTCCTGGAGATTAGCATCAGCCATACAAATAGATAACAAAAAGGATTAAAGGATAACAATTTCATTTTGGAGGCATTAAAATTTACAAGCTATTTCTTGCCCCAGTTAACAACTGATTGGAGGTTGTTTTCAATAGCAGCTGCTGGTTTTGTCTGAATGCTTGGACTTAAAGGATTTTTTTTTCTTATTAATGTTTACCCTATACAAGGCCCAAGAGCCACTTGAAGTAGAGGGTTACTGAAGGAATTTGTTGGGTGGGCAGAAAAAGTAAAAATTCATCAACTCAGTTTATGGGGAGAAAATGGTTAATCTTAGACAGGTTAAGATTTTAGTGTTTGTTTTTTTTAATAATTTTTTTTTTTTTTTTTTACAGTTTATCAACTCAAATTATTTAAAGTCAGAAAATATTTTTAGATTTTAGATTGTAAGAAGTTTTTTTTTTGAGATAATTATGATTTACTGATACAAGTCATACTAATTGATCCATAGCTAGGGGTACAGAAGAAGCTGATTCATACCTTTCCTAAGGGTATTTGTGTGTAAGTGAATATAACGAACCTGACTGCAATTAAAACTTGGCTTTCGGATTTCCAAATCTGAATCATTATCCATTAAGCCACCTGCATATCCAAACTTACAGCACCTGATATTCCCAAGGGGTCACCCATCTAGGTACTAACAAGGCTTGATGTTGCTTAACTTTGACTGTACGAAAATCAGTGGTTTCAATTTGATATCACTGTAAACCTGTAGTGGTTAGGAAAGCATCCTCTTGGTAGTCGTTTCCGCAAAGTACCAGTTTTGAGAAGACACTGAGTGGAACCCTTCTTATGAAGTAAATACAAATGGAATGGGTTGATTCTCTTTCATGTATTTGGATTTTAGCTGCGAAGGTCTGAACTGGTGGGACTAAGGAATGTTGCTTGTTGGTACATTTTACATGGAAATAGCGATAGGGTAGTGAGAGACGTGTGTTGTCTCATCTGTGGGAAAGGGGTTTGTTTCAATGAGAATAGAAGGATGTATGCAGATAGAATAACGCAGGAAAAGAAATTTGGGGAGTCAGTTAATCTGTTCTACTGCATTAACCATATTCATCTGGCCTTGCACCTATCAATTATTACCTTTTTTTTTTCTCTAATGAAAATCAGATACAAGAACTCACTGAAAATCTTTCCACATAAAAGCCTTAAAGGGCTGCCTGAGAATTGGCAACAAGTCATTGCAAATAATGGTGAATACATACCTGAATAAACTGTAATTGTACTTTATTTTTCAAAGAATAAACTTGATAAACAAAGACGGAAATGATTTATGACTCAACCTAATATTTTAGATTTGCATTTCAACTGGTGTGCATGGGTATACTAATGCACCTTGAAAGTTAGTCAAGTGCACTCCAAGTTAACAGAAGATTAATATATGAATTATTGTCATATTTAAAAAAATCTTTATTTTTAAAAAGTCAAGTCTTTGTCATGCTAAATTCCTTAATCTTAAAGAAGGACTGGATAATCTTATATATAATAATAATAATAAATAAATAATAAAAATAATAATACCAGATACTTCATTTTTTTTTTTTTTTTTTTACAA